CATGAAGGCTTTGCAAACTTTATACAGGAAAAATGGACCAATATGTCAGTAAGTGGCTGGGGATGCTACAAATTAAAAGAAAAATTCAAGAAGCTAAAGGTTGAACTGAAAAGATGGAACAAAGAGGTTTTCGGAGCTATTGACAGACACATAGAAAGGGCAAAGGAAGTAATCAAAGCTATTGATGAAAAAGGGGAAACGAGCATTCTAAATGACACAGAGATAAAAAGAAGACAGGAGGCATTCCAACAGCTATGTGAATGGAATAACGCAAGAGATAGCATGCTTTACCAGAAATCAAGACAAAAATGGCTAAAGGAGGGGGATGCAAACAGCAGGTATTTTCACTCATGTGTGGTGCAAAGAAGAAAGCACAATGGAATTGAAGGAGTACAAATAAATGGGGTATGGGTTGAAGAAGTGTAGGAGGTCAAAAGGCTCATCAAGGACTACTTCAAGAAGAAATTTGAGGAAGAAAGATGGGAGAGACTAGAATTTGTGCTAGACAGTTTCAGGAGGTTATCAATTGAAGAAATCAAATCTCTGGAAGCAGCATTTACAGAGGAGGAAATCCAAGAAGCAGTGTGGGGGTGCAACGGTAGTAAAAGCCCAGGACCGGATGGCTTCAATTTCAATTTTCTGAAGAAAATGTGGCCAATATTGAAGAAGGATCTATTCGAATGTATGGCAGAATTTCACATGAATGGGAAGTTAGCTAAAGGAAGTAATGCATCATTTATTGTTTTGGTCCCTAAGAAGGAGAATCCTCAAGGCTTGGGAGAGTATAGACCAATCTCTCTCATTGGTTGCATATACAAAATCATCTCCAAAATCCTAGCTAACAGATTGAGAAAAGTAGTGTCTTCCCTAATTGGTCCCCAACAATCTGCATTCATAGAAGGAAGACAGATCACAGACGGAATAATTATTCTCAATGAGATGGTACACGAAGCCAAGAGTAGCAAAAAGCCAGTATTGATCTTCAAAGCAGATTTTGAGAAGGCTTATGATAGTATCAATTGGAAGTTCTTGGACAGTATGATGAGTAAATTTGGGTTTAGCCACAAGTGGAGAACATGGATCAGGGAGTGCATATCATCAGCTACAGTTTCAATCCTGGTTAATGGGAGCCCTACAGAACAATTTCAAATGGAAAAGGGACTACGACAAGGGGATCCTTTAGCCCCATTTCTATTCCTCATGATAGCCGAAGCTCTAAATGGCCTTATGTTGAAGGCAGCGGAGGAGAATTTGTTCCAGGGGGTGGAGATCGGTAGAAGCGGCCTTAAACTCACGCATTTACAATACGCAGATGATTCTATCTTCTTTTGCGAAGCAAATGAGCAAAATGTTATGGTCCTAAAGAGCATCTTAAGAAGCTTTGAAATGATCTCTGGCCTCAAAGTTAATTTCTTCAAAAGCTCCCTAGTAGGACTCAATGTTGAAAAGGTCAGCCTTGAAGCTTATGCAGAGAAATTGAATTGTGCCACTGGAAAGTTTCCTTTTAAATATCTGGGGGTGCTGATTGGTTCAAATCCGAGAAGAATGTCTACTTGGGCCCCGGTGATTGACATCATGAAGAGGAGACTTTCCAACTGGAAGAGGGACTCGCTATCCTTTGGTGGACGTATAATTCTTCTAAATTCTGTCCTCTCGAGCATCCCGGTGTACTACTTCTCAACCCTAAAAGCCCCAAAACAGGTAATTCTTTTGCTATCTAAATTACAAAGAAATTTCTTATGGGGGGGGGGATGAGAATAATAGAAAGACGGCTTGGGTAAAATGGGAGACTATTTGTAATAGGAAGTCACAAGGGGGCCTCGGAGTTAAGGACCTTCAAAAGTTTAATATAGCCTTATTAGGGAAATGGAGATGGAGATTTTTAGTAGAAAAAGAGGCACTTTGGAAACAGGTGTTGGAGGCTAAGTATAAAATAGACAAAAGGGAGATGTGGGAAGCAAATAAATGGGATAGGCTAGGATCGGCATGGTGGAGAGACTTGCGGAAGATAGAATATGAAGTAGATGGAAAGAGAGGTTGGTTCAAGGAAGGGGTAGGAAAAATAGTAGGAGAAGGGAAAGAAACTCTGTTCTGGCATGAGGTCTGGGCGGGAGATATGCCGCTAAAAGAGAAATTTAATAGATTATTCCGCTTGTCCAGGGAAAAAGATGTTTGTATTGCAGATATGGGAGAATGGAGAAATGGGGAATTGACGTGGAACTGGAAGTGGAGAAGGAGTCTCTTTACATGGGAAACTGATATGCTACAAGACCTCCTTTCAACAGTACAAGGGACAAAGCTAAAACAGGGTGAAGACGACTGCTTTGTGTGGAATCATGACCCAACAGGCAAGTACTCAGTGAGATCGGCATACAACTTATTAAACCAGAAACAAGATGATAGACCGGACCACAAATTCAAGCTAATTTGGGACAGCAAAACACCGTTGAAGATATCAGCCTTTGCATGGAAAGCCTTACAAAACAGGATCCCAACCAAAGAAAATCTTCTAAAAAGAGGCATGATTGAAGAGACAACAGGAA